CTGGTTTCTGCTGAAAAAAAAAAAATAAAGTTTAAATTTAACTGTCACCAATGCAAACAAGATCAAAAAATGATTTGAATGAAGATGATTGAACATATACCTTACTGTAGAATGTTGTTGTACACATTCTGAATGCGACGGGAAGCTCTCCTTAGGGATGTGCCCATGGAGATGTGTCCCTCCTCAAGATCTTGAGTAAAGGCTTTTATCCTCTCCTCATTTGTGAGAGCACTAATTCTCCTGGTTCTGCCACGGTTACTTGCTTCCAAGTCGTTGATGTCCTGCTTAATAATGTCTCCATAGCGCACGGAAGCAGCTGTAATTGGAGACCATCCTGTTCAAATTTAAACAGCATAATTTATCTTGCAGTCAAAATAAGGGAATTTACTTGCCAGTTAGTTGGAGAACATTAGAATGGCGAACCTTCACCTCTGCGCGTCCGGTTGTGGGACTCACAAACATTGTTGGTTCTGTTCTCAGAGCCATTCACGGACAGTATACGGAGGCGTGCAGGAGACAGTCAGGTGCAGCCATTGGCCATTTCAGTTGTTGCCTGATAGTAACAGAAAAGAAAAATTATAAAATGTATAGTTGCTAAAAATTGTTTTTCAAAATAAGGGTTGTACTTCATTAATCGGAGTGAAGGGAAGAGGGCACAGTGGACCATGGGGCACATTGGTCCACCATCAAGTAACATGAGGATAGAGCAATCGCAGTGACCTGACTCAAACTATGCAAGAAGCCATTTCTGACTGATTTTCTGAAAGGTTTGACAAAGTTCGCCGTGAACCATCGGATATGCGAGGGAAGAAATATTTTTAACCTCAAAAACAGTTTAAAGTAAAACGTGTTCACCCCACAACTACCTTACTAAGAGGTACAAAACACGCATTTTCGGTTGCAAACTAAGTTTTACGATGAGGTATACTCTTTTAGCTGCAGATTGCATCCAGTGTCTACATTGGTTAAGACAATCCACCTCTCTTTTAGAGCCATTCAATTGAATTTGCTACCCTCGGAGTAGTCTGAGCCGTCTTGCAACTGACTAATTTTATATTTCGATACCTTGTCTCCTCTGGGTATTTTCTTCGTAGAATACCACTTAGACACCCTATGGTGTTCGGGATGAAGCGGAAGCGGAGGTTCTTTTTAGCAATTTTATTTAGCTCGATCCAATGTGCCCCATGCATGTCGGCCAAATGTGCCACGAGCCTCTGCGGGTTTTGGCTTTTCTCAGTCTGTACGTACAGAGAAGTGTTGTGGTCAATTTTCTGAGGTAAAGGAAGGACCAAACTGCACTCTTAGTGCCTCACAAAGCCTGGTCTTAATAAGATTTGGGTTTGTAACGAACAAAGGAACTAGAACCACCATATAACAAACGGATTTTCTTCGTGCTACGAAGAGCACCAGTTTAAGAACAGACGCGTGCCCTTCGTATTGCAAAGCCGAGCCCTTAGTAATACAAAGCATGTGTTGGTATTACAAAGGTTCCAAATCCTTTGTACGTTACGATAAGCAGTTCTTTTTCAGAAACTTAGTTGAAAACTTGGCAAAGGAAAATAATGTCTAGCTCGTCACGTGAAGCATTGGGAGCAAGGGGGCCACCACTTCAATTTAGGATGTACTATGAGTCGCAGAAGAATCCGACCCGCCTGAGTGAGCGGCCCTCGTGTTAGGTTGTTTCATTTTGAGGGGTCAAGACGCCAAATTTTCTGAAGCGCGGTTCTTTTGAATGTTTATGTCATGCCGA